TTATTGATTTTTTTATACTATAGTTATTGCCAAGTAACCTAATAGAATGCTTCTGCATTAGCACTAGGGCTAGCAAAATGTATTAGCCTTTAAAGATTGAAGCTTATGTTTCTGTATAAATTAATTTTTTTATTAATTCTTTTGTTAAATAAATATAAGTTAATTAAACAAATTATAAAAATTTAAAAATAATTTCTTTTTGGTATTCTTTTTTTTATTTTTAGCGACTGCATAAATAACAATTTAATTGGAGCAAAAGGTTCTTCAGACTTAGGATCTGCTTTATCAATGTGCATTAATCTGTAGGATTTGGAAATCTTTCTTTTGTAAATAAACATTATTAATTATTTTGTCTTTGATAAGAACTCAAATAACATAAATATAAAAATAATAAATTACTTTAATTTTTGTTAATTATTTTAATTTAAAAATTTAATTACCTTTCATAATTTAATCAATCTAAGTTTTAACTTTTATAAATTTTTTCAAGTAATTATTTTAATATTTTTAATTTCACAAATAATTTGGTTAAAACATATTTAAAGTAGTAGTAACATTAATGATATTGGTGCATATGGATTAATATATGGTTTAGTGAACTGTATAAATCTATCAATACTGTCACTTAGCCTTCAGTAATAAACATTATTTATTATTTAATTATTTCACTTGACCTAATATAATTAAGATTTTAGGTCTTTTCACTATTTTATCTTTTTTACATTTATTATATAGTTTATTTTTCATCAAACTTTTTATCCTATTTAATTATTTAATTATTTATTTATTTCAAATATGAAAAGAGGCAATTAAATTGGAAACTAAGGAGCTTCAGATATAGGTTTTGCTTTAGTAAAGTTACCAAACCTTCAAAATCTGAAACTTGGTCTTCAGTAAATTAATAAGCTATTTTAATATTACTTTTGTTGTTTATTAAGTAAAAACAATTTTAATTGCCTGTTATTAGGCAGGAAATATTATTTATTATTTGTTTTCTCTTTTATTTTTTTATATGGTTGTTTTAATTCCATTTTTTGCTTGAGTTTTAAATTATAAATTAATATTTAAATTAATTTTAAATATATAAACAGTGATAATTAAATTGGTGCTGAAGGTGCATTAAATTTAATTTCTGGTTTGACAAAGTGTATTAGCCTCAAGTATTTGAAACTTCATCTATTGTAAGAAAACTAACTATTTTTTTATATTTTCATTTTTGGATTTATTTGTTCATATATTTTTAAGTAAACTTTAAGAGCAAAAAGAGGAGGATTTTAAAATAAAAATAAAAAGAAATTATTAATAAATTAACAATAAAAAAAATTTATTTTATATTATACCTTTATTTCTAAAAAACATTGTTATACCTACTCAACGTACAAATTAATTAATTAAAAGATTAATATTAAAAAAAGCTGTTCTTATTCTGGTTTAATTAACTAAATTTTTAATTTTTTTTTCTATTTTTTGATCAATAATTTTTTTTATATTTAAATGGTAATTTAATTAATTACATTTAAAAAATATAAAATAGTTGCAACTAAATTGGTGGTTTCAATATCTCAGATTTAGAAAATACTTTTATAAAGTTAAATAGAATTTCGATGCTAATTCTCACTCTTGAGTAAAATATTTTAAAGATTCACTCACTCATTTGTTTTGTTTTTTAAACATTTTAAATCTTTAAAAATTTTTTATTTTATTTATTTTAGGATTTAACACTTAATTAAAATTTAAATAAATATTAAAAGCAATAACTAAATTGAATAGCACGAAGCATAAAGTATATGTTTTACTTTATCAAAAATAGATCAACTCAATTATTTAGATTTCTCTATCTTGTAAAAAACTTAATTTACTTTATTTTATTTTTGTTAATTTTCTTTAAAATATAATTAAGAAAACAAACAAAATTTTTGATTATATTTAATTTATTGTTTTTTCAATTTAATTTTATTAATTTTATTTATTTATTTACTGAATTTATATTTCTAATTTAAAGCAATAATTCAATTATTTTAGCATTTCTTTCTATTTAAATTTTAAAAATTGTTTTGTTGATATAAAAGTAAAAATAATATCAGCAAGGCTGTGGAAGGCAAATTATATGCTAAGATTCTCAAAATGAAGAGATTAGTTAAATAATACTTTAGTATTTGATCAGAAAATGTTTATAATTAATTACTTAGCAAAATTATATCAATATTAAAAATAAATTTATTTAATATTTTGTTTGAATATGTTTTAATCAAAATATTGTTTATTTATTTTGTAAAAATATTAACATTTTGAATTCAATTATTGCATTTTTCAATATTAAAAATAATAAATTATTCTTAAGAGGGTAAAGAAAAGGAATTTAAATAAAAAAGTTAAGATCTCTTCTGATTAAAATAAAAGAAAATTATTAAATGTGAAATTGCAATAACTATTAATAAATTTCTTTTATAACAATTTATTAGTAATGACTTAAATGATATTTAAAAATAATAATAATTAAATTAAAGATTACCTCTTTTTAAAAAATTTATTTTCTGATTTTCTTAGAATTAGATTTTTGATATATAAAAATATCTTTTTCATACTAAAGATACAAATACCCTTGCATTTTATTTTTAAACAATTATTATATTTTCATAAGTAGGGAGATATTAGTCCGGAAAAAATAAGAATTTTATTAAATTAAAAAGTTTAATTTTCTGGTAAAAAAGTAAATAAAATAATTAATAAATTTAATTGATGAAGATACTCATTTTAATTATTTTTATCTGACTTCTGTAAATTTTAAAGGAGAAAGAGGTTAATCAAAGATTTTTGTTAGAATTATGTTTAACGAAAATAATAGGAACATAATGATTATATAATTAATATAGATCTGAATATAGTATTTTTTGAAAGACAATTTTAAAGGAAAAAAGGTTCATTATGATATTTAGTAATTAATAAATTTATTTTTAAGCTATTTGTACCTTTGATAGTATTGCGAGGAAACTTTAAAAGAGAATAAGATTGAAAAAAAGACTTATTAAATTAAATGCTGTTGAAAAAAGATTGAATTCATTGATTATTTAATTTAATTGATGTAGACGCTAATTTAAATTTGTCTATTAGACACCTTTAGATCGTATTTCTAAAGAAAATTTTAATGAAGAAAAATAAGAAAAACAATTATTATTATATTAATAAATTAAGTGTTATAAATAGGTAATAAAAATAGAAGTGCAATTATTATTAAATAAAAATAATTTAGATTAATTAACTGTTTTTAGTTCTATTTTAAAAACAGATTGTTTTAATATCTTCATATTAAAAAATAGATCAAACAAAATTAAAATAATTCAATAAAGATATACATAAAATGGATTAGAATTAATTTATTAGATTTATAGATATTGAGACCTAAAAAAATTTAATAAAATTATTAAATATTTAAGAAGATTCACCCTTAATAGATTAAGCTGTTATTTTTAATATAGAAAAGAAATATGAATATACATGGGCTTAAAAGCTGTTCTAATCAACTATTGATCCTTCTCATTTCATTTTAAACTTTCCTACAACAGGAAAAAAATACATATTCTTAAATAAAAATATGAAATACACGAAAAAAATTTAATAAAATGAACAAATAATAGAAGATGATAGGTTATTCAGTGTCATATATTGTTTTGATTTTAAAAAAAAAGCATGGACCGAAAAGGAATATTTAAATGCATCAAAGCATTTCATAAAAGCTTTAAACTTAAATCAAGATTTGAATAACATAAAAAATATGAAATGGAGATAAAGCGGAATTAACTGGGGAAAAGCAACTTTGTATTCTAGATGCTATTAACACTGTGAGGCTAATTGTATAGGAAGCTGTAGTAAGTGTGTTTATTTTTTATAAGAAGAAGAATTAAAAAATTCTTTTATTCCTTACAAAATAGAATAAAACCCTAAATTCATCTTTGAAAACGCTTTATTTGAAATTGCTAAACGCTTTAATGATTATTTATATCCTTTGTTAATTTTCTAGTAAAACGAAATACCTATTAATTTAAACGAATTTCTTATTAAAACGAGCTGTGTTTTGTCATAAGGTCTTTATGATAGTGAATATTGCAGTCGATTTTTACCTATTAAATATATTAAAATTTAAATAGAACTATTTAATAATTAAAAAAAGAAGAATTTAAAATCTTTTGAAGAGCTATATTTGCTAAGTCGAAATGAAATAAAAACTTTAAATATTAACTTTAATTATTTTGAAAATAAAGAACTAAGGTTGAATTTATATGAATTTATTTTATCTTTAAATAATTTAAAGTCTATTAACATAAGATTTGACTCTAATAGGGAAATAATAAATATAACTGACTATTCATTTTTTTTTTCTTTCTTAAGATAATTGAAGGTTTAAAATATTTCAATATGGTTTTTACTTAGTGAAAATACATAATAGGTATTAGATTGTCTTGTAGCACTAGATTAATCAGTCAAATCTATAAAAATAACATTTTAGTAAATAATAAATATTAATCCTGAGATTATTGTATAAAAATTGCTAAAAATTAAAAATATAAATGAAATTTAATTGAATTAAGTAATAGAATGTTGCAGATAGTTGGATAATTCAGATAAATTTTCCTATAAGTTTTTTCAAAAATGGAAAAATTAGTTTATCAAGAAGTGTAAGAAATTATGTAGCCTATAAATTAATTGAAATTAATAAAGAAAATTAGATTTTCTGTCTGTCTGAAATATAAATCATTTAAATTTTATCTATAATTTGTTTTCTTTCTTATTCAAGCAAATAGTATGTAAAAATTATAAATTTTCAAAAATATTTACATATATTATATTGTCAATTCTTTTATATACAATGTGTTCAAACCTTGAAGGAAGATTTTTTTTTTTCTGTTTTATTTTATTAAAAGAGATTTAAAATCTCAACTAAGTAAGATTCATATTGAAATCTTAAATCTGAAATTTTGATGAGATTGTACAGTATTTATTTTATTTAATTCCAAAATATTTTCATTTAATTTATAAAGCAAACTTTATACTTAATTCTTTTTTTCTTAAGAATATTTAAGAAAAGAAGTAAGATTGAATAAATTATTTATTAAATTTAATGCTCTCAATAAAAATAAATTGAATACTTTGATTATTTAACTCAATTAATGTAGCTCCATTAATTTAAATGTGTATATCAATTAATTGCCTATCTATCGTATTTCTAAAGAAAATTTTAATGAAGATAAGCCTTAAATAGTATTATTATAATATTAATAAATTAAGTGTTATAGTTAATTAAAATAATTTAGGTTAATTAATTGTTTATAGTTCTAGTTTAAAACCCAGTTTTAATACTTTCATATTAAAAATCGATCAAATAAAATTAAAATAATTTAATAAAGATATAAAAATGAATTGGAACAATGATATTCAATTCATAGCTGGTAAAAAAATAAATGAATAATTAATTTAATTCATGTAGACACTCACTTTAAACATTTTAAAGGAGATTAAGATCGAATAAATATTTATTAAATTAAATTTTCTAAAAAAAATTGAATATCTTGATTATTTAATTTAATTAATGTAGACACTAATTTAAATTTGTCTATTATACATACCCCTATCTATCGTATTTCTAAAGAAAATTTTAAAGAAGATTGAATGCTATCATTATTATATTAATAAATTAAGCGTAATAAATAGGAAATAAAAATAGGAATGCAATTATTATTTAATTAAAATAATTTAGATAAACTAATTGTTAAAAGAACTAATTAAAAAACCAGATTGTTTTAATACCTTCATATTAAAAAATATATCAAACAAAATTAAAATAATTCAATAAAGATAGATATATTTAAAAATGGAGTATTTTTTTGATGAATTAGATATTGAGACCTAAAAAAATTTAATAAAATTTTTAAATATCAAAGAAGATGTTTCCTTAATAGATTAAGCTGTTATTTTTAATATAGAAAGGAAATATGAATATACATGGGCTTAAAAGCTGTTCTAATCAACTATTGATCCTTCTCATTTCATTTTAAACTTTCCTTCAACAGGAAAAAAATACATTTTCCTAAATAAAAATATGAAATACACAAAAAAAATTTTTTTAAATGAATAAATAATATACGATGATAGGTTATTCAGCGTCATATATTGTTTTAATTTAATTCATATTGAATATAGCGGAGGAGCAAAGCATTTCATAAAAGCTTTGAGCTTAAATCAAGATTTGAAAGATTTAAAAAATATGAAATGGAGATAAAGTGGAACTAACTGGGGAAAAGCAACTTTGTATTCTAGATACTATTAGCACTGTGAAGCTAATTGTTTAGGAAGCTGTAGTAAGTGTGTTTATTTTTTATAAGAAGAAGAATTAAAAAATTCTTTTATTCCTTATAAAATAGAATAAAACCCTAAAATCATCTTTGAAAATACTTTATTTGAAATTGCTAAACGCTTTAATGATTATTTGTATCCCTTATTATTTTTATAATAAAACGAAATACCTATGAGTTTAGATGAATTTCTTTTTTATATAAAAATGCCTCTTTTGTCATCAACAGGTTTTTATGATAGTGAAGAGTATAGTAAATTGTTACCTATTAAATATATTAAAATTTAAATAGAACTATTTAATCATAAAAAAATGAAGAATTTAAAATCATTTAAAGAGCTATATTTGCAAAGTCCAAATGAAATAAAAACTTTAAATATCAACTTTAATAATCTTAAAGATTAATAATTAATGTTGAATTTATATAAATTTATTTTATCTTTAAATAATTTAAAGTCGATTAACATAGGAATTGACTCTAATAGCGAAATAATAGATATAACAACTGTCTATTAATTTTTTTTTTCTTCTTTAAGATAACTGAAGGTTTAAAATATTTCAATATGCTTCTAACTTCATAAAAACACATAATAGATATTAGATTGTCTTGTATCACTAAGTTAAACACTCAAATCTATTTAGATTACATTTTAGCATTCAATAGAAATTAATCCTGAGATTATAATATAAAAATTGCTAAAAATTAAAAATATAAATTAAATTAAATTGAATTAAGTAGACGCATGTTGCAGATATTTGGGAAATAAATTCTCCTGGAAGTTTTTTCAACAATCGAGAAATTAGTTAATCAAGTAGTGTAAGAAATTATGTAGCCTAGAAATTTATTGAAATTAATAAAGAAAATTAGATTTTCTCTCTGATATTTTAATCATTTAAATTTTTATCTTTAATTTGTTTCTTTATAGTTAGTGTATGTAAACTTTAAAAAATTTCAAAATTTATTTAAAGCTATTCCTAAAATAAATTTTATTGTCCATTTAAAAATTCTTGAAAAGCAATTAATTTTATCAAAAAAATGATATTTAAAAAATAAAAATTAATTTAAAAGTTTTATTAGATTAAATTTAAAATAATATTATAAAAATAAGATAAAAAATTAGAATAAAAGCAATAAACAAATTCTAGATATTTTTGAATTTTATTTTATATTAACTATTAAAAAAGCTTCATTGGCTATTATTTACTAACTCTACTAACACTTTGTCAGCATTAGTACAACTATTGCTGGTCATTATTCTTTCATTATCATTTTCAGACTATTTACTTTGTTAAGTATCAAGCTATGTTTTATCTTCATTGGATTCAAATACTAATATTATTATATTAATTTTAATTTTATTAAAAATATTTGTTTTAATTAACTTACATAAAGGACTTTATTTAGTTTATCTGGTATAGTATGCCCACATATCTCTCATGTTTTAAAATTAATTTCTTTATTTAAGACTTTTATTACTTTAATTCAACTCATGAGATTTTATTAGAACAAATTTATTAGATTATTGCAAATTTGATTGTTAAGTTTAAGTTTAGTTAATTTATTAATTGAAATGTGTTTGAAAAGATTCTTAATGGTAGAAGCTGTGATTTTTAAAGTATAACAAGAGGTTTCTTATTTTATTTTTGACACTTTTTACTTTTATCAAAGATCTAATTCGATGATTGCTTTATATCTAAATATTTTCAAAGAGTCTGGGATATTTAACTTTCAGAATATAAATCAGTTCTTAAATAAAATTTCTGTTTATTTTTTCATTTGATATTGTTATTTAAATTATGCCCATAATCAGCTATACAATAAATTATATATTTATTGCCAACAAAAATAATGTTAAAAATACATGGTAAAATACCTGATTCTCATTAACAAAATTTGATTATATCGAAGATACGTTTAAGGAAATAGAGCAAAGTAAGGAAGATTTTAAAAGTAAGCTGTTAAAATTTCTAATAATATAAGGTCTTGACTTAAAAATGATGTACGACTATATCAAAAATACTACATTCAGCAAGCAAATCTTTTGAAAAATTAAATTACTTAGTTAACTAAAAAAAATGAAAATAGATTTTACTTTAAAAAATTCAATTTATTGAAGTAGCACTGAAATTATAATTAACAATGACTTATAAACTAATTTTCCGAATTCCCAATAGTAAAATTTTTCTTTATAACCGGCAAATATAAAAGAATACTTGATTTCTTAGAAAATTGACCATTTCTATCTTTTTCCCTTTCTAACTTTTAAAAACAAAAATAGAGGTATGAAAATAGCCCATATAATTAATAGAGGAATGCTGAAGAATAAGACATATGGCTAGTGTTTTTTAGAGTCAAAGCATCTCACATTAAAGTCTAAATCAAGATATTTTTCATTACCAATATTTATACAATTCATAGACCTACTTAAGAGAGTAACGACCATAGGGAAGAAGTATAAATAAAAGAAAATCGAAGCAGTTTTTATGTAATTAACAATGATATTTTTCTTTTTTATAATAAAATATGATAGCAAATAAACTATCAAATAAATAGCCAACAAAGATAAAGGTAGCATAAAAGACCAAGATATTTAGAATAACCACAAAGGTTACATTTCAGGATGATTAGAAAAATAGCAATCTATAGATTTACTTGTGATATTTATAGCACTCCCAGATACTTAGAATGGTAATTTATAATAATTAGATTAATTAAATTAAAAAGAAGCTAGCAAAGATATTATTTATAGATGATCTGTAAGTATCTTTGATACAATTTAAGGTTTATCTGCCTTATAAACTTATTTAAAATTTTTTTATAAAATAAAAAGAATTTATTATAATTGAAATTTTACTTGTTGAACCAAAAAAGATAATGCCTGCTTTGTTCAAATAGTAAGATGCTAGTTTAGCTTACAATTTATATAAAATATTTTTAAGAATAAAAAAGGTATAGCAAGCCACAAGCAAGAAGATAATGAAATTATATAGAAAAATTAATAAGAAATTCTCTTCACACTTATAGCAAACTCCAGGATTAAATATCTGTGAGTAATTTTCTCCCCAAACATCTCCATAAATATCACATGAGTAGCAAAGAGGACCTATATTTCCCTTAATGCAATTAAACTTATTTTTAATTTTATAAATTATTAATTTATTTTAATTTTAGTAAGATCTTAAAAATATATTTTAAATTAGTTTAAAATTTAAAAAATAAAGCAGAATAATAATTATTAACCTTTGATTCAGGAGATTCTGGCTAGCAAGAATCTCGATTAAAAATGCATTGTATTATATTATCTGTTTGATTATTTAGTCTCCAATATCCATTCTTTAAATTTATAGTAGAACTATAGCACTTAATTGCTGTGTCAGGACATTATTAGCAAGATAAATCATTCTAATTTAAAGAATATTTACCTTCAGGGCATTCATCACAAATAATCGAATCTCCTATTTACTTTTAGATTTCTCCAACCGAACAGCTTTCGATTTAAATTGTTAAACTTTTTGATAATGGCTATTATCTTATGTAAGTATTTCCTTTAGAATCTATCAGTTGAGAAAATTAATTAGATTATAATTATAAAGCCATTTCAGTTAAAGGTTTATACATAATTTAAACATTTAATTTAAATCCATCAGAAATAATCTGTTTTGATTATAGCTCTCCGCTACATTATATCTATTGTAATTATTATTCACATATAATTTAAATACCGATTTACTGAATTATAGATTGCACATTTGAACTATAATGATCAAATTGTAAAAGTTATAACTCAGGATATTAGATAGGATTATTTTCTTCGTCTAGCAATTAAATTTTATCAAAGAATATTTAATTTCCACTTTTAAACTACTGAATTTATATTTATTATTGATGACTTTTCTTAATACTATAACTTGGAACTTTTATATCATCTAAATTTAATTCAATTTTTCTTAATGTTGAACCAAAGTTATGGCCATATAGTTAAGCTTGATTGCCAATAATTGAGTTTTTACTATGAATTTTTTTTTCTAAATCTAAAATTAAGTCTGGCACTATTTACTCATAATAAATTCCACCACCGATTGCTGCTTAATTTTATTTAATTAAACTATCTTCCATTATTAAATTTGAATTTATGAGACTTATGGCTCCTCCTGTGGATGCATAAGCTTTATTTTAAATAAATTAGCTTGACATTATACTAAGTTAGCAAATGGTAATTTTGTTTTAGATAAAAATAGCTCCTCCATTTTACATTTAACAAAAGTTTTCCTAAAAGACAGTGTGAAGTATTTATATGTTAATGTTTTCAATAGCATATATTGATCCTCCTTATCCAAAAACATTCCAGTTATTTTTAAAGGTACTGTTATAAATATATGTTTGATTGCATTATTTGATAATAACAATCGAAGAATACATATCACTTTAAATTTTAACATTATTCACATCTATTTTATTTAACTTCAGATTATTTAATTCTGTAAATTATATAAGTGAAGCTTAGTCATTTATTGTAGAGTTAAAAAACTTGCAAAATGATATTTAAGATTAACCATCAATCAATTATTAACTTAGACCTAGTATTGTAGTTTAACAATCAATACAAGTTAATTAGGTTATGATACTATTTTTAAAATTAGTTACAATAAATAATTATGAACTTTCATTCAATAACGCTGCCATAATACCTTATAAATCAATATATTAAAGCAACAATTCTGTTGTAATTATACTAAAAAAATATTATTTCACAGATAGGCTATTAAGAGTTACATTACTAATTAGAGTGATATTCACTTCGGTCTGCAATTTAATATCTTCTGATTTGCTGATATTCATATTTTGAATATAAAAATATTTGCAAAATTACTTAGTTTGATCAATTTATAGAGGTTATATTTGTAATAATTAAACTTAATTGCTTTATATGACAGTCAAATTTTATATAAATGTATAGTAATTAGCATAAATATTTATTATCTAAGAATCATAAACCTTGCTCATAAATAAGTTTGTTAATGTAAAATTATTAACTAATCTTATATCAAATAAATTAGTTTATTTTGATTAAGTTATTTAAATATTTGATATTGTTACTTGAGTATTGTTGTAGATGTAAAATACATCAGTTAAAGACATGTTAAATATTTGGATTTTATTAATTATTATTTATTAATTATTCATTAAACTAATTGCATAACTAACATCTTGAAAATTTTCAAACTGCATGTTTTCTATTACAACAAATTGACAGTCAGTTATAAAAATCTAGCTTTTGTTCGAGCTACTTTGATTATAATTAAGTTTTATATTTTATATAAACACTCTTTCTATATTTTATATAAAGAGTTATTCCTAAACAAATAATGTTATATTACATATTTATAAACTGTTTATTTGGTTATTTAAATTCAAAGTAAGTGGGTCAATTATAAAAAGGCTCATATATCTTATGATCAAGCTATATATATTTGGAAGTATTACTAAATCACTTTACCAATAAATTTTATTAATTTAAGATCTAGATTAAATAACTAAGCTGAAAAGTTATTAAGAAATTACACTAATCTCATCTAGCTCAAACTAGTAAATACTATAGATGAATTAATCATTTTAATATTCAGTTTCAATCAAAGAAAGTACTTAAATATCACTCAAAGCAGGAACAATTTAGTTAAGTTTTATTATATTTTTAATATTTTCTAAAGGCTTTTTTTAATATTATAATTAAACAGAACAATTTTCATAAACAGATAAAGGTAAAATGAAATGCTAAATATTATTATAGCTAGAAATTAATACTTATAGTTATGCATAATTAGAGTTAATAACTAGCTTAAAATTTTAGAGAAATGAGAAAGGTTGATTTATCACTTATGATATTACGTTATTGCCATTTTAATCTAATTATAATATTAAGTATTTCATTTTTAGAATTACAATAAAATAATAATTAAAGCTTATATCTATAATACTGATTGCATCTTTAATCCCTTAATTAATAACAGGGAACTATTGTTAAAAGCTTAATCCATTATAAATAATGATGCTATTAGGACATATCGAGTAAATAAAATTTGTATCATAATTTAAAATAGCTTATTTTAAACATGAATTTTTTATTGTTATTAATAATTTCAATTAAAAGTTGTAAACTTATGTAATTCCTCTGTTAATAACTACATATATTAACTTTCTAATAGGGTCATTAACAATATTAGTAACTTTTATATATTTTAGAATTTGTGTGTGCTTAATGGTTAATTCTTATATGTCAGCTATTTAAATTTAATAGTCAGTTTCTTACTAAGATACAATACAAATTAAATTTGCATCATTCGCATCGTTATTATTAATTCTTTCTTCAAAATCAACTGAAATTTTCCACCAGTTAATTTTACTACCTTAACTATATTTCTTTTATAGTTTGAAAGTAAATTTAATTAAATTATTGCTGAGCAAGTTTATTTAACTAAGTTGGTTAGTTTATAAATTAAATATTTGGATCATGTTGGCCGATGGCAAAACAACAAAATTATTGTATATGAAGGCTTAGGTTATATCTCCTTAATCGAAATTAACCAAATTTATCTCCATAGGACTTTCAATAGATAATTCCAAATAATTCAATTAGAAATTCTATTCATACAATAATAATATTTAATTTCTTAACTTATCATAAAAATAATTATCAGGGATATTCTAAATTTTTATGTTTTTAATTAGACATAATTTTTCATTTATTAAATCAACTTAAATTATGCTTATTTATTAGTATTAAATCAAAAAAAAAGTACTCTAATCTATTAAAATTGGCTCAGTAAAATATGGTTGAATATTTTATGAAAAAGGTTCTAGCAATAAAGTGTCTACCAGTTATGCATCATTAAATAAGTTTATTGATAAATTTATAATACTATAAGAAACTAAGTAATCTCCATTCAAAACGATATTTTGGACATTTTAGTATTAGAGTAAATTAGTTTAACCTGAATATAATACTTCTTATAAATCAAATGCAACAATCTATTAAGTAGTCTAAACAATCAAAGTTTACTAAAAGGTATTCAAATAAACATTTTATATTTCAACACCATTTTAATAATTTATAGAAAAAGTTTCAATAAATAATATGTCAGGATAGGAATAAGTGGATATAAACATATCTGAATATAAAAAAATCACATTTTAAATTGTATCCATCAATATTCCTTTAACGTTTTAAATATCAGTATTACATTAGTCAAAATTATTTTAAGAATAATCTAAAATATATATCATAGGAGTCAAATCTACAACTATAAGTTTTTATCCTTTTTCATAGAAATAAATAGCATCTTTATAAAATTTTCTGTTGGTTTTATATGTTTATAATTCACATTACCCAGGAATATTAATTGAATTAATTACTTTAGCAGATCCAGTTGTAGCAAGTAATTATGAAAATTTAAAATCATAAAACAAGTTTGTATTATTAAATCTATATTCAAATAAATATGAAAAATTCGTATAGTCACCTAATTTAAATAAACTGTTTGCTTAATCATAAAGATAAACAATCAACTATTAAGATAAATTTACCAAAGGCACACATTATAAACTATTTTAAAATTGATCAAAGCTATCTACCTTTTTTTTTTAATAAATAATTTATTAATAAAATTGATTTTTTATAGGCAACTGTGAAAGAGTCCACTGCAAAAATTGTACAGTAGTTTGGCTGAGTATGGGTGATTTTTTTAATTTTCAAAAATTTTATATTAAATTTTATATCTAAATTTTATTAATAAATAGGTATGGTGCATTTTTTAAATACATATTGTATGTAGAGAGTATTGATTATCTAAAGAAATTAATAAAAAATTAAAATCTTGAGTAAAAATATTTTTAAAATTAAATTTTATCTTGATTAAATTGTAGATAAATTAAAAAAATGAAAGAAATGAAATAAATTATACATTATTAAATGTCATTATGTTGATTCCTGTGACAAAGTTAAATATTTAAATTTAAGGATAGTAGATAATAACAAGATTTTCATCACATTAAAGATAGTATTGCAAATCTGAATATGGTTGTTGAGAAATAACATCAATTTACTGAGTAGTTTGAGTTTTAATCTATTTTATTATAAAATCATTTTAGATGTTAAAATATTTTTTAAATAAATTACTGAGATTGAGTAAATATTTAAACTAGCTGTCTTAACTATTATTACTTGCTATTTTACACACACCTTTTAGTCTATAATTTAAGAGTCTAAAGTAGAAATTTTTTAAATTTAGGAACTTTAAGTTTTGTTAAATGTGTAAATTGTATTATTGTTTATCCACAAGAAGATCTAAAGACTCCAGTCAATCATTGTAATCTAAAAATCAAATTTAAAGTTCATTTCAATATATATATTTTCTTAAATTGACTTAGTAACATCATAAATTATTATCTCATTAGTTTTATTATCGTAAATGGCTATTAAATTGATTTCAAGTGCTGTATCTTATATTTTTTATGTTTATGCCAAATTAAATACACTAAAAGGTTTATTAAACAAATTGATGTGCCAATATATATCATTATTCGATTAGAATAAATGCAATTCAGTATCATTATCAATACTTATATTTCCAAGATAGTTATTGTTTTCTTATTAATTTTTAACTATTATCATATTTTTTGTATCTATAATATTATTTGATTTTTTTATAAATAAAAGATTATCAAAAGGATAGAAATTTATTTTCTTTGTCCGATACTCTTTTTAATCTGAATCAGAATTTATTGAAGAAAACTACTTCAATTCCATATCAAATTTATACAATTAATTTTAGTCATAATAAAAAACAAATCTTTCATTATAAACTAAATCCAAAAATTTAAAATCTAGAAATGGATATTAAATTCCTTAATTAAGAACATCTAAAAGTTGAAGATCGAAAGAGTAAATATAAATATTTGAATAGTAAAAAATAAATATTTCTCCTGTTTTTTAATAAACTAAGGATTTGCATTTAGAAGGATCTATTTAAATTGTTTGTAATTAATAAACAAGCTGTTTTTTGCTTAAAGAAAACGGTTAGCATTTATTTTAATCCATTTAAAAATAAATCAAATCATTTAAAGTAATTAATGGTTGTTGGTTGTTATTGATAATCCAAAAATTAATCCCATATTCTTATCCAAAATCAAATAATTGCTACACCGAAGCTTATTGTAAATCAATCATGTATAAAATAGTATTAACTTAACTATTTGCTAAATACACAATATAGTCATCATTTATAATTATGAAATATTGTAATGAAAAGTTATAGTATTATATATTTTTAATAAGCTATTATCCTGATGATAAATCAAATATCTATGGTATATTTTAAATTAATAACATATTTCTCTTTTCTATAAAATACACATCACTAAAAGGATATAACTAATCATATGTGTAATTTAGAATTTATTTTTAGGAAGAAATTTCAATGATGTATTCATAAACAGTTTGATTAAATACCTTACTCAGCACAATATATTTTTAATTGATAATGTTTATGTTATCGAAATTTGAAAAGTAATTATCTGTTTGCAAAGCTAAATATCTTGTGTTTAATCTTGGAATTTTTTGCAAATTCTGTAAATTATACTTAATTTTTAAAATTGCTAAAGCTTAAGAATTGATTCTCTAATTTCCATAAAAAATTTAAAAATTATTTTCTTATTAAATATTAAAAATTGTTAATTCTTCATTATATTTTAATTAATACTAATTAGGATCTAAGTATTTAATTTGATAACTAAAATCTGATAAATTGTATCTTATTCTAAGTTGCTAATAATAATAAGTATTTATTTGTATTATCTGCTAAACAAATATATCCAAAACATTAAATTATTAAAATATAACATTCGTGACTTTTGAAATATTTGTTATATGAGTAGAATTTATTGTCTAAGTTAATAAATTAGCTAAATTTGTTTCACCTATTTAAAATCTAGTCAAATAATTAGTCAAATTTAACAATTGTAATTTATCTGATATAAAAATTAAAAATGTTGAATTATTTTATTCATTTTCGTAAATCTCAAAATAATTTAATTGAGTTGAAAATAAAGTTGTTTTTTAGACTACTTGATCTGAATATACATTTAATACTATCAAATCTAAATTGAAATTAGAGATATTATAGCGAATTATTGAATTTAATAAATTGCTATATCTGATGCAATCCTAAAAATAAAGCTCTACTGATTCTATATTTTTTGCTTCTAATTATTAATCCGAAATTGTTATTTTCTGTATTAATATTTTAAAATTATTCCAAGCATAAGATATTAAATAATCATTCTTTTAATATACTTATATTTAACTCTAAGAGGATGGCAATTCAATTAAAATATTTTAAATTTCTAAAGTTCTGTCATCAAGAAGCTTAATTTACTAATAAAATATAATTAAAAATAAAATTGAATTAATTTCAAATATAATATACCTTCAACTAGGTGTTGTTAATCTGTATATAATAAAAGGTCTGTGAATTCTATTAAAATTAAAGCATATATTTAAGATATTAAGGAAAAGATGGCTCTGTATATATTTGATTGAGCTTAATATCATAACGTAATATCTAAGTTCTACTTACAGAAGAAAGAAAGACAATTTAATTAATATGATCTAAATATAAAATATAATAATGCATATAGTCATTATCATCCTCAAAATTATAATCTACTTTATCATATAGCTAAAAAGTTTAGAAATCAAAAACTGTTAATTTATTTCCTGCTATGCATCCAGCCTTTGATCCTACCATGAAGCTTTATTGTTAAATTTCTTCACCTTTAAGCATATATTACTATTCATAATCATACATTTTTTAAAGAATTTATACTGAAACTATTTTCCAATCTGAATCAACAAGTGCAAATGTACATTGATTAGCCCTAACTAAATAATGGTTCGTTTAAAATTATTCAACTTAGAGAACTCTTTAAGGGAGTTGATAATTAGAGCTATTTTCAGTTGAAGGGCATTAAATTGTTTTTTAGCACACTTTTTAATCAAAATTTGAATAATAAGTGGAAGGACAACTTTAATAGCAATCACTCGCATTATATGGAATTTTAGCAAATCCTACTTACGACTAACAATTATCTGATTAAAATATACATGAATTACTAATAGCATCTAGCTCAAAATTAATGTCACATTAAATACATTACTAATATTCATTACATTCTATGCAACCAACTATATTACATTAAATACATTATTAATTCTAATCTTATGTTTCTCCGTTCTAACAACTTTAAGCACAAACAAAGACGTCCATAGAGCTCTTTACTAGACCTGATCTGCAGATTAAACAAGAATTCTCGCTAAAATTAAAGCAAGTCTAACAATTTGCATGACACTAACTACATTATTAGCTAATAATATTGAATATCTAATTACTTTAGCATTGAGCAATTATTAAAGGTATTGCGAGTAAAAAAAAACAAAAAACATCAAAAATCAACATTTTGTTTACACGCCTATTTATTTTATTAATTTTATTAAAATCAAACAATATTTCAATTATTTTTCTTTTAGTATTATCAAATAAAATTCAAGTAAAAACTACTTCCTAACTATTAAAAATTTATAGTCCTTTCTTTCTATGTAACAAAGAAGATTTCTCTTAACTAAATAGATTTCAAAATAAGAAATTTGATAAACATAAGTAATTTTATATTACAAATATTATATACAAATAACAAAATATTATATAGGTAGAAGTATTTTTAAACAAAAAATAAGATCTTAAAAATTATATTTAAAGCATGTTTTTAAAAATAAAAAATAACTATATATTTATTTTTTTGCTCGTTTGTTTACCAGTTTTAAATTACTATATAAAATATTATTGTTATTTTTATATTTTTAAATAAAATAAAATTAAAATATTTAAAAATTTTGTTTAAGGGAATTAACTATGTTTATGCTTAATACAAACAAATCTTCTTAATTTTTATATAAAATGTAAACTATATTACTTCTAATTAAATTTTGATGGATTTTTCAAAAACTGTAAGCTATTCAAGGTAAAAAATACAATTAAATATATTTTGGATAAGAATTAATTACCATAAAACTTGATAACTTTCTTAAAACCAAATATTGTTATTATTTGTAATAATTCGCAAAATAACCCTAAAAGATGATAAATTGATTGAGGTTACAAGTTACTTTATTAAAAATTGCTTATAAACAAAAACGCCCACCTAAAAATAGAAGCTTAATAAGATAATTAATATATTTCTATCATAATTAATGTTTTAATTTAAAATGAAATTTGATAACATATTCAAAAAAGTTGTCCTAATGCCTATAGATGTTATTAATAAATTTTATATGTTGTTGGTTTTTTGTTGTTACTATCAATTTGTATTTTGGCATTCAAACTAAAAATACAAAAAGCCTTTTTATAGACTTCATAAATATATATAAGCATTTAATAAATAAAAAGAAAGTGGGAAAAATTAATCTAAAGAATTGAAATTTATATTCAGGGAAAATAATTAAAATCAGAATCAATCAAAGAAAAACCACGAAATAAATTTTTATTTTCACAATGTAGCATTTAGTATTATCTAATTAATATTTTTGCAATGAATAAATAAATACATAAAAAATTAATAAAATAGTTAGCCACATAAATTTAATTCAAAAATGAATAAGCTAGCAACTAAATAATTTACTTTAAAAATATATAATTAATCAATATTTATTTAGAAAAGCTATATGATTGATTACAATTTTTAGTTCAATATATATGGTAAAATAAGAAGTCTCGCCCATAGGGGTATTTTTGTCACTCATTTTTAAAAATTTTTAAACATGTTAGTAAAATTTTTCAAAATTTATCTTTTTCAAAAAAAAAAATATGATATAAGAATATACAGTGAATAATATTTCAAATTTTGCATTGTGTGAATGCTTTCTAAAAACTCTAAAATAAATCAGTTTTAAGCTAGTTTAGCTTTATTTATTATGATATTAAGATATATTACATTTCACCTTTTATAAATTAAATAGGCATTTCACTCAAGTTAATTAGAAGGAAAAAAAGAAGAAATAATATGAAATAATAAGATTAATTAATAAAATTAAAAAAGAATGAAAAAAAAAAGAAATCATAATAAAAAGAAAAAATAAATTAAAAGAGCTTTAATGTTTTAAATTAACTTTTATAATTAAAAATATTACAAACCAAAAATTAATAAATTGATTTTATTAAATGTAAGTTTTAATAGCAAAAAATGTAGAAAAAATATCAAATAATAAATAATTAAAAAATAAAATGAAAATTAAGTTAAAATAGCTAAAAATGTTTGTTTTAATAAAAATCAATAAATAATTATGATATTTTTATAATAAAAGTTATTTATTTAAATTAATTGAAAGTTAAATTTATAAAAAATATTAATAATAATAAAAATAATATTTATAAATTAAATATACTATAGATTAATATGGAGAACCTAATGAGATGATAGTGAAGAGCTTAAAAACTTTTTTTGTTAATTTATATAAATTTAAAGGATATTAATAAAAAAATTAATAATTACTTCTTCTAATTTGTTATATATATTAATCTAATATATCATTTATTTTTTTTTTCAAAAATATTGAATAACAATTTATGAAATTTAATTAATTAATTGTAAATGGATAAAAAGAACAAATAAATATATTAATTTTCAAATATTAATTTATATATTTTGTTTTATGAAGATATAGATATCACAGAAAAATTAATTTAACATTCATATTTAAACTTAATATTTGTATGTAAAACATATACTTACAAAAATAATAGGAATTAGAGATGGCCAGTTATTTATTTATTCATATTTCAAAAAATTCTAGTATTTAATGTTCTTAAATATTATAAAAATAATGTTTATAAGTAGATTTTTCTGTTTTAGCTCTGTAATTTTACGAATTTTTATAATATCTCAAATTATAGCAAGCTGCCATACAAAAATTTCATGGTTTGTATGCCACTTATTATGAAATAGATTTTTATTTATTTATTAAAAAATCTGTTTTTATATTTTATAATAGAATTGTTATCAATAATTTAATTTATTATAATTTCAAAAATAAATAATTTTTTACATCTAAAAATTTTAAATTATTTGATCCTTTTTTGAGAAACATGTGAGTTTGTTTAAGAGGAATTAATTTATTTAAGTAAATTTAATTTTTTTATTTTTTATTTTTACAAACAATTTATTTACTTATAAAAATAAATATAAATGATATTTATAATAAAAAACAATAATAAAATCTTATATATTTTAGGTTAAAAAACTTTTTCAAAATAATAAAAAATAAAAAACCTTTAATATTCAATTATTTAAACATTTAATATTTATTCTTCCTTTTTTCTCCATTTGCTTATCACCAGAATTTTTTTTGAAAGACAACTAATCTTTTTGATTTAAGACACTTGCTTATTACTTTGAGTTTTTATGATTAATACATTGAGCTAAAATTTTATAATAAATTTGTGTAAATTTTATTAAATATCAAAAAGAATAAACTTTTAAATTAAAAATTGTTTCTTAAATTAATATATAAATAAATAAAAAAAATAACATTAGTCGAATAAAATAGATAAAAAATAAATCAAATAAATTCAAAGAACTTTTTTATTTTAAATTAGTTTTTATAATTCAAAATATCACAATCCAAAACAAATAAACTGTTTTTACCTAAGGTGAAGTGTCAAATTAGAGAGATTAATACAATTTGCTAAACCAGAACCTAAGCCTGATGCACCTTCATCACCAATTTAATTGCCACTTTTTAAATATTGAAGAAAAAATATATCATTAAATAGTTAATTAGAAGGAAAAAATGAAGAAAGAATATGAAATAATAAGATTAAATAATTGATAATAAAAGAAAAAGTTAAAAATAAAATGATGAATTAAATTAACAAAGAAAGAACAAAAAAAAAAAGCAAGCACAATATAAAGGAAAAGAAAAGAGAGCTTTATTGTTTTAAATTAGTTTTTATAATTCAAAATATCACAATCAAAAACAAATAAACTGTTTTTACCGAAAGTCAAGTATCAAATTTAAGAGATTAATGCAATTTGCTAAACCTAAACCTAAGCCTGATGCACCGTCATCATCAATTTTATTGCTACTTTTTAAATATTAAAGAAAAAATATATCATTAAATATTTAATTACAAGGAAAAAATGAAAAAAGAATATGAATAAAAAGATTAATTAATTGATAATAAAAGCAAAAGTTAAAAATAAAACTATGAGTTAAATTAACAAAGAAAGAACAAAAAAAAAAAAGCAAGCACAATAAAAAGGAAAAGAAAAGAGAGCTTTATTGTTTTAAATTAATTTTTATAATTCAAAATATCACAATCCAAAACAAATAAACTGTTTTTACTCAAGGTAAAGTGACAAATTTGAGAGATTAATGCAATTTGCTAAACCAGAACCTAAGTATTATGCACCCTTTGTACCAATTTCATTCTACCTTTTTAAATATTGAAGAAAAAATATATGATTAAATAGTTAATTAGAAGGAAAAAATGAAGAAAAATATGGAATAATAAGATCAATTAATTGATAATAAAAGCAAAAGTTAAAAAAAATGGTGAGTTAAATTTACAAAGAAAGAACAAAAAAAAAGCAAGCACAATAAAAAGGAAAAGAAAAGACATCTTTATTGTTTTAAATTAGTTTTTATAATTCAAAATATCACAATCCAAAACAAATAAACTGTTTTTACTCAAGGTAAAGTGAAAAATTCGAGAGATTTATGCAATTTGCTAAACCAGAAGCTAAGCCTGATGCACCCTTTGCACCAATTATATTGTCACTTTTTAAATATTGAATAAAAAATATATGATTAAATAGTTAATTAGAAGGAAAAAATGAAGAAAGAATATGAAATAATAAGATCAATTAATTGATAATAAAAGCAAAAGTTAAAAATAAAATGATGAATTAAATTAACAAAGAAAGAACAAAAAAAAAAGCAAGCACAATATAAAGGAAAAGAAAAGAGAGTTTTATTGTTTTAAATTAGTTTTTATAATTCAAAATATCACAATCAAAAACAAATAAACTGTTTTTACTTAAGGTTAAGTGACAAATTTGAGAGATTAATGCAATTTGCTAAACCAGAACCTAAGCCTGATGCACCTTCGTCACAAATTTTATTGCCACTTTTTAAATATTGAAGAAAAAATATATCAATAAAATAGTTAATTAGAAGGAAAAAATGAAAAAAGAATATGAAAAAATAAGTTTAATTAATTGATAATAAAAGCAAAAGTTAAAAATAAAATGATGAGTTAAATTAACAAAGAAAGAACAAAAAAAAAGCAAGCACAATAAAAGGGAAAAGAAAAGAGAGCTTTATTGTTTTAAATTAGTTTTTATAATTCAAAAAATATCACAATCCAAAACAAATAAACTGTTTTTACTTTAGGTTAAGTGTCAAATTTGAAAGAATAATGCAATTTTCTAAACCAGAACCTAAGCTTTATGCACCCTTTGCACCAATTTAATTTTAACTTTTTAAATATTGAAGAAAAAATATATCATTAAATAGTTAATTAGTAGTAAAAAATGAAGAAAGAATATGAAATAATAAGATTAATTAATTGGTAATAAAAGCAAAAGTTAAAAATAAAATGGTGAGTTAAATTTACAAAGAAAGAATAAAAAAAAAAGTAAGCACAATAAAAAGGAAAAGAAAAGAGAGCTTTATTGTTTTAAATTAGTTTTTATAATTCAAAATATCACAATCCAAAACAAATAAACTGTTTTTACTGAAGGTCAAGTGACAAATTTGAGAGGTTAATCCAATTTGCTAAACCAGAACCTAAGCCTGATGCACCTAAATCACCAATTTTATTGTCACTTTTTAAATATTGAATAAAAAATATATCATGAAATAGTTAATTAGAAGGAAAAAATGAAGAATGAATATGAAATAATAAGATTAATTAATTGAATAAAAGCAAAAGTTAAAAATAAAACTATGAGTTAAATTAACAAAGAAAGAACAAAAAAAAAGCAAGCACAATAAATAGGAAAAGAAAAGAGAGCTATATTGTTTTAAATTAGTTTTTATAATTCAAAATATCACAATCCAAAACAAATAAACTGTTTTTACTAAAGGTTAAGTGCTAAATTTGAGAGATTAATGCAAATTGCTAAACCAGAACCTAAGCCTTATGCACCTTTTGTACCAATTTAATTTTCACTTTTTAAATATCGAAGAAAAAATTTATCATTAAATATTTAATTACAAGGAAAAATTGAAAAAAGAATATGAAATAATAAGATTAATTAATCGATAATAAAAGCAAAAGTTAAAAATAAAACTATGAATGAAAGAACAAAAAAAAAGCAAGCACAATAAAAAGGAAAAGAAAAGAGAGCTTTATTGTTTTAAATTAGTTTTTATAATTCAAAATATCACAATCCAAAACTAATAAACTGTTTTTACTTAAGGTCAAGTGACAAATTTGAGAGATTAATGCAATTTGATAAACCAGAACCTAAGCTTAATGCACCCTTTGCACCAATTTTATTCCTACTTTAAATATTGAAGAATAAATATATCTATTAATAGTTAGTTAGAGGGAAAAAATTATGAAAGAATTTGAAATAATAAGATCAATTAATTGATAATAAAAGCAAAAGTTAAAAATAAAATGATGAGTTAAATTAACAAAGAAAGAACAAAAAAAAAAAAAGCACAATATAAAGGAAAAGAAAAGAGAGCTTTATTGTTTTAAATTAGTTTTTATAATTCAAAATATCACAATCCAAAACAAATAAATTGTTTTTACTTAAGGTTAAGTGTCAAATTTGAGAGATTAATGCAATTTGCTAAACCAGTACCTAAGCCTGATGCACCCTTTGTACCAATTTAATTTTAACTTTTTAAATATTGAAGAAAAAATATATCATTAAATAGTTAATTAGAAGAAAAAAATGAAGAAAGAATTTGAAATAATAAGATTAATTAATTTTCATAATAGCAAAAGTTAAAAATAAAATGGTGAGTTAAATTAACAAAGAAAGAATAAAAAAAAAGCAAACACAATAATATAAAAAGAAAAGAGAGCTTTATTGTTTTTAATTAGTTTTTATAATTCAAAATATCACAATCCAAAACAAATAAACTATTTTACTTAAGGTTAAGTGACAAATTTGAGAGATTAATGCAATTTGCTAAACCAGAACCTAAGTCTGATGCACCTTCATCACAAATTTTATTCCTACTTTAAGTATTGAAGAAAAAATATATCATTAAATAGTTAATGATAAGGAAAAAATGAAGAAAGAATATGAAATAATATCAATTAATTGATAATAAAAGCAAAAGTTAAAAATAAAACTATGAGTTAAATTAACAAAGAAAGAGCAAAAAAAAAGTAAGCACAATAAAAAGGAAAAGAAAAGACAGCTTTATTGTTTAAAATTAGTTTTTATAATTCAAAATATCACAATCCAAAACAAATAAACTGTTTTTACCAAAGGTTAATTGTCAAATTTGATAGATTAATGCAATTTGCTAAACCAGAACCTAAGCCTGATGCAACTTCATCACCAATTTCAATTTATCTTTTTAAATATTGAAGAAAAAATATATCATGAAATAGTTAATTAGAAAGAAAAAATGAAGAAACAATATTAAATAATAAGATCAATTAATTGATAATAAAAGCAAAAGTTAAAAATAAAACTATGAGTTAAATTAACAAAGAAAGAACAAAAAGAAAGCAAACACAATAATATAAAAAGAAAAGAGAGCTTTATTGTTTTAAATTAGTTTTTATAATTCAAAATATCACAATCCAAAACAAATAAACTGTTTTTACTGAAGGTCAAGTGACAAATTTGAGAGATTAATGCAATTTGCTAAACCAGAAGCTAAACCTGATGCACCCTTTGCACCAATTTAATTGTTCCTTTTTAAATATTGAAGAAAAAATATATGATTAAATAGTTAATTAGAAGGAAAAAATGAAGAAAGAATATAAAATAATAAGATCAATTAATTGATAATAAAAGCAAAAGTTAAAAAAAATGATGAGTTAAATTAACAAAGAAAGAACAAAAAAAAGCAAACACAATAAAATAAAATAAAAGAGAGCTTAATTGTTTTAAATTAGTTTTTATAATTCAAAATATCACAATCCAAAACAAATAAACTGTTTTTACCTAAGGTGAAGTGTCAAATTTGAGAGATTAATGTAATTTGCTAAACCAGAACCTAAACCTGATGCACCTTCATCACCAATTTTATTGCCACTTTTTAAATATTGAAGAAAAAATATATCATTAAATATTTAATTAGAAGGAAAAAATGAAGAAAGAATATGAAATAATAAGATCAATTAATTGATAATAAAAGTAAAAGTTGAAAATAATGATGAGTTAAATTAACAAAGAAAGAACAAAAAAAAAAGTAAGCACAATAAAAAGGAAAAGAAAAGAGAGCTTTATTATTTTAAATTAGTTTTTATAATTCAAAATATCGCAATCCAAAACAAATAAACTGTTTTTACTCAAGGTAAAGTGACAAATTTGATAGATTAATGCAATTTGCTAAACCAGAAGCTAAACCTGATGCACCCTTTGCACCAATTTAATTGTTCCTTTTTAAAAATTGAAGAAAAAATATATGGTTAAATAGTTAATTAGAAGGAAAAAATGAAGAAAGAATATGAAATAATAAGATTAATTAATTTATAATAAAAGCAAAAGTTAAAAATAAAACTATGAGTTAAATTAACAAAGAAAAAACAAAAAAAAAGCAAGCACAATAAAAAGGAAAAGAAAGAGAGCTTTATTGTTTTAAATTAGTTTTTATAATTCAAAATATCACAATCCAAAACAAATAAACTGTTTTTACTGAAGGTCAAGTGTCAAATTTGAGAGATTAATGCAATTTGCTAAACTAGAACCTAAGCCTGATACACCCATTGCATTAATTTGATTGCCACTTTTAAATATTGAAGAAAAAATATATCATGAAATAGTTAATTAGAAGGAAAAAATGAAGAAAGAATATGAAATAATAAGATTAATTAATTGATAATAAAAGTAAAAGTTAAAAATAGAATGATGAGTTAAATTAACAAAGAAAGAACAAAAAAAAAGCAAGCACTATAAAAAGGAAAAGAAAAGAGAGCTTTATTGTTTTAAATTAGTTTTTATAATTCAAAATATCACAATCCAAAACAAATAAACTGTTTTTACTCAAGGTTAAGTGTCAAATTTGATAAATTAATGCATTTTGCTAAACCAGAACCTAAGCCTGATACACCCTTTGCACCAATTTTATTCTTACTTTAAATATTGAAGAAAACATATTTCATTAAAAAGTTTATTAGAAGGAAAAATGAAGAAAGAATATGAACTAAAAAGGTCAATTAATTGATAATAAAAGCAAAAATTAAAAATAAAATGATGAGTTAAATTAACAAAAAAAGAACAAAAAAATAAGCAAATACAATAAAAATAAAAAGAAAAGAGAGCTTTATTGTTTTAAATTAGTTTTTATAATTCAAAATATAACAATCCAAAACAAATAAACTGTTTTTACTTAAGGTAAAGTGACAAATTTGAGAGATTAATGCAATTTGCTAAACCAGAACCTAAGCCTGATGCACCTTCATCACCAATTTTATTGCCACTTTTTAAATATTGAAGAAAAAATATATCATTAAATAGTTAATTAGAAGGAAAAAATTAAGAAAGAATATGAAATAATAAGATCAATTAATTCATAATAAAAGCAAAAGTTAAAAATAAAATGATTAGTTAAATTAACAAAGAAAGAACAAAAAAAAACAAGCACAATAAAAATAAAAAGAAAAGATAGCTTTATTATTTTAAATTATTGGGGTATTTTTAATGTTGGAAACCAGAGATTACCAAAATAATTTGATATTTTTTTTAGAGTTCGTAAAATTTTTCAAAATTTATCTTTTTCAAAAAAAAAATATGAAAAAAGAAAATACGGTGAATAATATTTCAAATTTTGCATTTTGTGAATGCTTTCTAAAAACTCAAAAAGAAAGCTATTTTAAGCTAGTTTAGCTTTATTTATTATGTTATTAAGATATATTATATTTCACCTTTTATAAATTAAATAGGCTTTTCACTCAAGTTAATTAGAAGGAAAAAAAGAAGAAAAAATATGAAATAATAAGATTAATTAATAAAATTAAAAAAGAATGATAAAAAAAAATCATAATAAAAAAAAAAGGAAAATAAATTAAAAGAGCTTTAATGTTTTAAATTAGCTTTTATAATTAAAAATATTACAAACCAAAAATTAATAAATTGATTTTATTAAATGTAAGTTTTAATAGCAAAAAATGAAGAAAAAATATCAAATAATAAAAAATAAATAATAAATAATTAAAAATTGAAATGAAAATTAAGTTAAAATAGCTAAAATATGTTTGTTTTAATAGATAATTTTTATAATAAAAGTTATTTATTTAAATTAATTGAAAGTTAAATTTATAAAAAATATTAATAATAATAAAAATAATATTTATAAATTTAATATACATCAAATCAATATGGAGAACCTCATGAGATGATAGTGAAGAGCTTAAAAACTTTTTTTGTTAATTTATATAAATTTAAAGGATATTAATAAAAAAATTAATAATTACTTTTTTTAATTTGTTATATTTATTAATCTATAAAATCATTTATTTTTTTTTTCAAAAATATTGAATAGCAATTTATGAAATTTAATTAATTAATTATTAATGGATAAAAAGAACAAATAAATATATTAATTGTCAAATATTAATTTATATATTTTGTTTTATGAAGATATAGATAGATATCACAGAAAAATTAATTTAACATTCATTATTTAAACTTAATGTTTGTATGTAAAACATATACTTACAAAAATAATAGGAATTAGAGATGGCCATTTATTTATTCATATTTCAAAAAATTCTAGTATTTAATGTTCTTAAATATTATAAAAATAATGTTAATAAGTAGATTTTTCTGTTTTAGCTCTGTAATTTTACGAGTTTTTATAATATCTCAAATTATAGCAAGGTGCCATACAAAAATTTGATGGTTTACATGCCACTTATTATGAAATAGATTTTTATTTATTTATTAAAAAATATGTTTTTATATTTTATAATAGAGTTGTTATCAATAATTTAATTTATTATAATTTCAAAAATAAATAATTTTTTTAAGTCATATGTTTTAAGCTTTTTAATATATTTTTTAGATTATTTTAAGATTATGCTCAGAACATAAAACGCTAGCTAAGAAATTATATTTATTTTTTATTTAAAAATTTTAGAGCCAAATATTAATTAATTAATAGTTTTAACTTGTAATATAATTCAAAGGTTAAAAATATATTAATTTATAATTAATTATATATATCTACTAGATTAAATATTTTCATTAAAATTGAAATGGTAATTTATTGAACTAAAAATTATAAACATTAATTATAATCAAGTGAGCTATCATAAATATTATTCTTTTAATTAAATAGGACTGATTATCTTCTTCATCTATAACTCAAAATTTACAAATAAAATTAAATATCCTCTTTAAATTTACTTTATAAATGTTTCCACTCTATTAATTAACTAGATGGTTAAGCCTGATAGTTTTATTTCTATTCTTTATTTAAATTATGGCCATTTAATTAGTTCCACAATCTTTGAATGATTTTTTATTATTGAGGGATCAACCTCTTTCCATGTTTCAATACACTAATTCTATATAAAATAGCTTTAAAGTCCAAAACTTAGTTATTTTTATGAATTATTTTTTTTAATTATATCACAATTCTAGTGTGATCTATTCATAATATATAAATATATATCTCCTCCAATATTTGCTTAATTATTCCAAATTAAACAATCTTCCGTTTTAGAATAAATTTCTGAGTTTTGTGATCTGTATTTCTTGAGGATAAAGTAGCGTTAACAAAGAATATAAACATAATTCTACAATTTTATCAATTAATGATTTTCCTAAAAGATACAACCACTTATTTATTTAACTATCTATTTGTTAATGTTATCAAAGTATATTTTAGATCCTCCTTATCCTTTAGCATCTATATTATTTTTAAGAGAAAATATTATAAATTTAAATTTCATCTGATTTATTGATAATAATAATAAAAGAATTAATAATGCTTTCTAATTTAACATCATTACTGATTTCTATTTAATGTAATTTGAGATTGAATATATCTCTATATTATTTAATTGTTTATTGATTTATTAAAGAGCTTTAAAGACTACAAAATAAGACTAAGACTGACTAACTAACCATCAGCTAGTTTTTTAAGCTAAAGATAATATTTTAATTTGGCAATTTAATCAATTATTATATTATATTTAAATTAATAGTGATAAATAATTTTAAATTAAAGTTTTTTAACCTCTTTTATATTTATTTTGTTAGTTGAAATGATCAATTTGAGATGTAGTAAATTTTAGATAATTGTTCTTAAGGATCACAATTATTTTCAATAGTAATTATTCACTCAAAAGATTATAGTATTCAATTCAATATTGAGATTAATATTCCTCTATATAGACTTCTTTATTAAATATAGTGCATAATTAATTCTAACCTAGATAATTGCTATCTAGTACTAATGAATATCTGATAGCTTTAAGTTGAACAAGTTTTATAAATGCTAATTGAAAAACAAAATTAAAAACTAAAATAATTAAAACTTCCTCTGCATTATTTTTTACTAATTATTTTTAAGAATTATAGAAAATTTTTCTGAAAAATTCTTCAAGAATTAGAATTAATTTAAATATTCTATTTAATTCTAAAAAAATAAATCATTTTTTAAATTATCATGATTAATTACTGTAAACTTTTGTGTTTTATCATCTTGCATTTCTCATCATACGATAAAAATCGAAATTTTCAAAATTCCTTTAAAAAATAGATTATTTCAAATAATTATTAGATAAAAAAACATAAGATATGGTGTATCTGTAAAGCAATTTAAATTATATACTAAGGTAAATTACAATTTTAAAAAAATAATAATTTGAGAAAGTGTATATTAATATTTACTAAATCTATATGATTTCTGATGAATGATCAAAAAATCTAATGACTAATCTAGATTAAAAGACTTGATTTTATTAGAAATAATTAAAAAAGTGATGAAAAAATTAAGATAAAAAATTTCTTTAATTAAAAATGAGAAAATAAAAAAACTAATTTTATTTAGGGAAGATATTTATGTAATATTTCAAGAAATTTATCTAAATGCTTCTATAGTCCTAATATATATTAAGCGCAAAATTCAAAGCTATTTAAATTTTTACAAAAAATAAATCTTAATAAATTTCAAGTTAAAATTATTTTTGATTTAGTTTTTTTACTTGATTACTACCAATAAGATTTGACAGATATCTGAGAGATCAATTAAAAGAATACATATAATATTTTATTAGAAATCTAAATAGTGAAAATTAAATTAATTACACAACTAGGAAAATTAAAGCAACTCAAAGTTATTCTTTTATAAGGAAAATCTAAATTTGATAAGTTAATAATTATTAAATTAAAAAGAAAATTCAATCTGAGAAAAAGTATGAGATAAATATTTGCTTTCTCAATATTGGCTATTATTAATGTTATTATATGCTAAAATAATAGCACATAACAAATCTAAAAGATATTTGATGATTAAGGAATTCATACAATTTATTATAACAACACCTTTAAATTAACTGGGCTGAATAATGCCAATATAGTATTTTCTCTAGAAAATATGACAATAATGGATTCTTTCTTGATTGAAGGAAATGATTTAAGCTTTACTTTTTCAGAGTTTACTTTAAGAAATGTTTCGATTGGACTTAATAATTAGAGTTTATTTGTGTTAAGTCAAACGAAGAGTTTTGTAATAAATAATATGAAGCTTGAAAATATTGAAATTTTCACACCTATTTTCTCTGTCAATTATTTAGAAGGTTTTAGTATTGAAAGAGGATAAATTATAAATAGCTATCTTGAGAAAGGGTTTGGTAGCTTTTAGGAGGTTTAATCATTTATTATAAAGTAATCCATTGTTGATATAGATACAATTTAAAATTTGAATGAACCTTTTTACAAATTAAATAACACTAAAATGTTTCATTTTGAAAACTGCAAATTTGGTATTCTATCAAGAAATTCTTTGAATAAAGATTAATAGAAAGAAGTCTATCTCACAGAGAAAGAATAAAGCAAATAAAATATTCCAAGTTTCATTTAAAATCAAAAGTATTTAAATTTTATTGAAGTCTATGGTAATAAAAAGCTTTATTAAGGTAGTGAATCCTATTTAAAGTTCATATAAGCTGATTTTAATAACACTAATATAAGATTTTTACTTATATCTTCTTAAATAGAGCAGAAAATAATAATTTAATTTTGTTAATTTGCTAATATGAAGAGTGTAAGTTCAGGTGGCTGCATAAGCAATTTAGGTGTCGCTATGTTAGAATTCACAAAAACAATCTTTGATACATGTTAAAGCTAAATGTTTGGAGGAGCTATTTACTCAGCTAATCTAAATGTAACAGATGAATTGATCGTTTAGAATTGCAAAAGTAAAATAGGAGGAGGTGCATTTTTAGGTTTAAGAGCTGAAGATAAAATGCTACTTGATGCAGAAAAAATTAAGTTTATTAATAATAAAGCAACAGTTTCATCTTAATAATATTTTGCTTGCACAAATTAGATTGATTCTTTTTAAATGCCACATTGTAATTTATTTGAAATCGATTCTTTATTTTAATTAAATACAGAATTAGTTAATACATAGTACTATATGGTGTAATAGTAAATAAACATAGAAAAATTAGTTACTCCTCCTTATATTATTTATCATATGTCACTTCAGCAAAATATGATTTATTTAATAAGACTTAAAGTTGAATATAAGTGTGCAGAATAAAAACAACTATGTAGTGTTAGTGAATTTGATGAATTTTAATCAATCGGAAATCTCTATGATTTTATTGAGGATAATCTTAAATAATATTTTTACAACTTTAATTTACCAAACGTGAATTATCCTTATCTCTTAACAAGCTATTTTGAATATTTTGATTGCATCAATTCATATATCGATCTATTTGAACTTTAATTCTTTTAAATACATTTTTATTATAAAAATTCAAGATTTGGCTGCTATAACCCAACAAATAATTGTCAAAAAGGTATGGAGCAAGTACTAAATGTGTAAAAATAGTAAATCTAATGCAAATATTGTAGTTTTGGTTCTTATAGTGGTGATCCATAAAATAATTGTGCTATTTGTGAAACAGAAAAATTTGATAAATGTTATGCTGATGTTTCTTATCTAAAATAAAATCTTTGGAGACCTCAAAATTCTCAATTTAGCGAAACATACCTTTGTGAGCTAAATTAATAAAGTTGTAATGGGGAAAAGAGATATGGTTCTGGAAATGAACTATGTTTAGAGGGATATATTGGACCTTAATGCTTAACATGTGACATAAATGGTGAATATTGGAATGGTGAATCATATGGATTATAAGGCTATTTTTAATGTGCTAAATGTAGCACTCTTTAAAATAATACTTTATTTAATTATTTATCTGCTGCTTTCTCTCTCTTTTTATTTTTCTTTACAGTTAGAGGTAGTTTTAAAAGAATGTAAAATTAGATTTATAGAAGATATCTTTCTTTCTATATGAAGAGAATATATATTGGATATAGCTTCATTAGATAAAACTAGTCCTCTGTCTATACAAAGATACTTCTTTTTAATTTCTAGATGTATTTATTGACATATTACTTTGTTGATTTTAATCATTATGACTATTCGATTCATAGCAGAATTTATAGCTTTTTTAATCCATTGCAAAATTAAGGAGGAACTTCATACGACTGTTTTCTTAAATAATACTTTGATAAAGCTGAAAGTTTAGGGTATATCAAGCTATTAATATCTATTATGTCTCCTCTTGTTCTTAATTTTTGCTTTTTGATATTTATTGGCATCTTTAGTTGTATCAGAAAAAAAAATTATTTCTTTATTATCATTAGCAGTTTCACGTACAGCATCATTTTCGTTTTTTAATAATCAATTATATCATATTCTATTGAATCTTTTACATGCATTCAGCTTACGTAAAAAGATTAATACTTAATGATTGATACAAGTATTAATTGCAGCAATTAACACATGATGAATTCTATGAAATATTTAAGCATTCCTGCTCTAATTATATATGTGTTTGCTCTACCTATAGCTTTATTTGGGTATATCTATGCTAATAGAAGTAATTTGGAAAAGACCAAGATTCTGATTATATTTGGATTTATGTATGATGAATACAAAAGAAGATACTTTTATTGGTAATTTATTAAATTAATACTATCTACCTTATTGTCAGCTTTAGTTTCTTTAGGTAAAGCTTAAATTGTGCTTTCATGCCTAATATATTGTGCAATTTTATCTGTTTATTCAGCTTCTGTTATTTATTTCTAACCTTTTTAGTAAGTGTTTATTAATAAAGTTGAGCTAGTATCTAATATTTTATCAGTGTTATATGTAATATCATCTATTTGCCTCTAGATAGAATTTGATAGTTAAAACTAATATGATTCTTATAAATTAGGTAGAATAATATCAGAAATATTTTACTACTTGGTATTATTTTTATAAATGATCTTTTATATCTATATAACAGTCTTGATTATTGGATCAGTATTTTACACTTCAATTTAAGGTATTCGTAGAAAGAGATTTTTCTAAAGAATAATCAGATTATTTCCATCTCTAAAGCTTTACATATACTCAAAACAGTTAGAAATTAATCTTTAAAAATTTAGAATGGTAGTAAGGAATTGTATAATTAATCAAAGCTTTTAGCCCATTAATGAGTTAGGTGAAAATTAAGCTCTTATAAATAATTGCGTCAATAGTTTTTCAGATACTCAAATAATACACCATTAAAAATTGTTGTAATGAATTTAATTTTTAGTATATAGTATGATCTACCATAAAAGAAAGTGATAGACAGATGCATTAAAATTTATTCATGATATTTTTTTAAGATCATTTAAATTAATTAAATATTAATTCATTCAAAAACCTATTTTTTAATAATATTTCCATTATATATGTTTTAATGTTTATTTTGTAAAACCTACTAAGGATAACTATTTATTGAAAATATTAATAGCGTGATTAATAATAAGAAAGTAATTAATATTTAAATCTTTTATATTTAAAAATTTTATTGAAAGAAAAAACTTAGATAAGTAATAAAAAAATATGTTCTAAGTTTTATTTATAAATCAAGAAAAATAAATTAATGAAAAGTTAAAGAATTGATTATAAATTTTAAGAAATAAATACTCATAGAGAAAAGTAAAATAAATATATTAATGTTTTATTTATTACAAGTCAAATAACTTAATAATTTTTATTATAATTAGAAAAAAAATGTTCACCAATAGCAATATTTATAAAACCATCTGTTTTTTCTACAGAAGAATTTTCTTAGTTCATCATATATAAGTAGTAACATTGTATAGGCTAGACAACTTGTCCATAACCAGAAGAACATAGGTCTACCGCCAAATACAGTTTGGACTCCAGGTACATATTGCAAGAAAATAACTAAAATTGTTTCGAAAATAACACCTTAGATCATGACTGAATTAAAAGCAGTTGTTGTAAAACTCATAGATCTACTTTTGCAAGCAAATACATTTGTCCACTAAAGTAAGACAACTGTTAGGAAATAAACACTTTAGGCATAGTTGATAGCTTCTACTGAATAGCAAGCAGTTTAAGATGTTAAAACTGACCAATTTTATGATTCGTTAATATCACAATCACTCCATTTAATCCAAGGTATAAAGGCACCAGTAACAGGATCGCACTTAACCAAAGCTTTTCTTAGATCATAATTACCTTCAGAAAGTGTGAACCAGTCCAAAGAATATTAAAGATTTGAAAGAGCGTTATTTTGGTCGGTTGAGAGTTAGTTGCAATCTTAGAATTTTGTAATATTATAGATAGCTGCATTGTAGTAAGGATCTTCTCTTTATAGCAATGGATTGTAATAAGTTCCAAAGTCATTTTTTACAGGTCTGTATCCTGTTGCAGAGGCAAGACCGAATAAAGAAAGTACTGGGAAACCAAAATAGTTGAATGCAATATAATAACCAAGATGGCCAGCTCCACTAGCAATCTAACCTGTTTAGAGATAAGCTATTGTAATTAGCTTATTTGAAACCAAATGTTCAGATTTATTACGAGGTCTTCTCGTCATTACATCTAGTTCTGCTTCTTCATAAGCAAGTGAAATAGCTGGCCAAACATCAGTACCAACACAAATGACAAGCATATAAATACTGGAAAGAGGTAAGGGAATTTAGAGGATGATGAAGGCTAGGAAAGGAACAATTTCAGTCATGTTGGAAGTTAGAAGATATACAATTGTCTTCTTTAAGTTATCAAAAATTTTTCTACCTTCTTCTACACCCAAAACTATTGATGCAAAATCATCATCAACTAAGACCATGTCTGCAGCATCCTTTGTAACATCGGAACCAGAAATATTCATAGAAATACCAATATCTGCTTTCTTGATGGCTGGAGAGTCATTTACACCATCACCAGTAGCAGCAACGATGAATCCTTCCTTTTGGCATGCATCAACAATTTGTAATTTTTGAGCTGGGGTTGTTCTAGCAAAAACGCAATAAGGTTTAACTACCCATTAACGTAAATAAAAGCAATCTTCCTTTTTTTCACTTAGAGCTTTGTCGATAGACTCAGTAATTCTATCTCCATGGACAATAATAGCTCTGCATTATTCGCTTGCTTCCCACCAGCTGAGATTAGGATTTCTTTCCATAAGATCTTCATTGGTTAGGATATCTTTGGGAATAATATTGACTTCTTTGGCAATAGCAGCAGCAGTAGGAGGTTAATCACCAGTTACCATAATAACCTTAACACCTGCAGATCTACATTCTAAAATAGCGTAGGGGACTCTCTATTTAGGGGGGTCCATCAAAGAAATAAGACCACAAAACTAGAAATTTGTAAGTTTAAAGGGGAACTTTTAGATAGAAGACACATTAAAAATAAATCCTTGAGGGAATTAAGCAGCAGGTAAACTCAACTTAGCAAAACCAAGTACTCTTTCACCACCTTTACCAAAAGTGAGATTTACAGCTTTGAATTTCTTTTACCAGTTATCATTAAGTTAGGAAGGCTAACCATTAACTATAATGGATGAGCAGAAACTCCAAATCTTTTCTGGAGCTCCCTTGATGTAAACTGTATAGTAACTTTCTTATGTTTACTCTTCAATTATTGTCAAAGCAAACTTTACCTATGAGTTGAAAGGCATTTTACCTTAAGTACCATCAGGATTTTTAGCTACTCTATATCTTTCACGGAAGGAATTTACATCTTCAATGTATTGATAGAATCTGATAATACCAGTTTCTGTTGCATCTCCTAATACTGGACAGGTCAAGTAGTCGATATTCTCTTTTTCTTTAATAGTAGAAGTATCAAAACGGGCTTCACTACTGAGCATGGCAGCCTTCTAAAGAGTTTTAAAGTCAGGATCTTCAGTATTATATTCAGGGATTTCTCCTTGCTTAAGATGAGTCTTGTTCTTTGATAAGTGAATCTAATCTGAATACCACAAATTTTTGACCGACATAACATTTTAAGTTAAAGTACCAGTTTTATCAGAGCAAATACAAGAAGTGGAACCAAGAGTTTCTACAGCTTCGAGGTTTTTTACAAGGACATTTTTAGCTGAGAGATTCTTTGCAGTAATGGCAAGCGAAATAGTAATGCAACCTAGTAAACCTTCAGGAACATTAGCTACTAGAATACCAATACCAAAGACAAGGCAATCAGTAACTTTATAATTCATATATAGCAAAGCAAGTAAGAAAAAGGCTACACCAAGTACTATTGCAATAATTGTAATCAGAACTACAAAACGATCAAGCTCAACACGGAGAGGAGTTTTGACTTTCTTTTCACCAGAAGACAAATCAGCAATCTAAC